AGATATAATCCAACATGTTTTACGGTTTTTGAGTCAAGTATGAGATCATTTCCTGAATTTCTTTCTTAATGTATTTGTAATAGTTACATAGGACTCTTCCTCATTTGGGGGTGATGATTTTATATCCTTCAACTTTGCTGAAGGTATTTGTCAGATCTAGGGAGTTTTTCAGTGGAATCTTGAGGGTCTTTTACGTATATACTCATATCATCTACAAATAAGGATACTTTGACATATTACTTTCCAATGTATATTCCCTAATCTCCTTTGCTTTTCTTTCTGTTCTAAGACTTCATATATTATATTGTCCAGGAATGTAGAGCGTGGACATCTTTTTTTTATCCTGATTTTAATGTGACTGTTTGTCTTTTCCTTCATTTAGTCTAATATTGACTGTGGGCTTGTGGTATGTTGCTTTTATTATGTTAAGATGTGTCCTCTGTATCCCTAGGTTGTCCATTACTTTTATCATAAGTGGATATTTGATTTTTTTTAAGGGGCTTTTCTGTGTCTATGAGATTATTATGTGGTTTCTGTCACTGAGTCTGTTTATGTAATAGATTATAGTTGCTTATTTATGTATGTTGAAACTTCCCTGCATCTCTTGGATGAAGCCAATTTGATCACGGTGGATATTTTTGATGTGTTCTTCCATTTGATTTGCAAGTATTTTTAAATATTTTATTGAGCTTTTGTAATTTCATACAACAGTTTTTAATCAAATTTAGATCCCCTCCCCCATCTGTTCCTGCCCCATCCCCCCACTGGACCTCATGTATTCCATTATACTTTCTGCCATCATTCCATCATGTCAAGTTCAATTAATTCAGGAATTTGTACAAAATGTCCTATGTAAATGTGTCCACTGGAGTCTAGTTAGCCAATCTACTGATCATATTTAAATCATAATCTCTCTCACCCACCAGCCATCAGTCTTGAATAGTTCTCAGTCTAGTGCTGGTCTGCACCTATTTCTCTCCTTCACCTTGGGCCCTTATTTAATTGAGTTGACATGGGTCCTGTGCTCAATTCCACCATTGCTACAAGTTCACATTTATAAGCTTCCAGTGGCCTGGAAGCCTCTGGTTCTCTGTGTTCAGAAATAGCCCTGGCTCTAACAATCTTTCTACCCCCTCTTCCGCAATGGTCCCTGAGCCATGGGTGGATGAGGTTCCATGTAGGAGTCCTATCCTACACTCTATAGTCTCTTATTCTTTAAAATATGGCCAGCTGTGACCTTCTCTGTGCATCACACTCTGTTGTATAAGGAAGCTTTACTGGTGAGAGTTGAGGGATGCATTAGTTTTCTCTTTATCCCTTATTCCACTCTGTTCCATGAGCCTTATAGATGTTAAATTGTAGGTGTGTCACCTAGTACTGGGCATCTCTCAGATGTATGTTTTCTGTTTCTGACCAGATGTGCAAATCTGAAGGAACTTCCATGTGTTGAAAAAAGAAGCTTCTTTGATGAGTGGTGTGCAGTATACTTGTCTCTAAATATAAAGATTGATTTTAGGATATAGCAAGAAGATGCATTTGTCTTAAGATATGAAAGATATAGGGCTTTCTCTAGGATCTATGACCTCTCCTCCCATATGTGTTTGGCCGAGTTTACAGTGCCACCTATGAGTTCCCTCCCATTGAGAGAGCTTTAAGTCTAATTAGATAACCGTTGATTGCCCCACAGATAACAGTGCCATTGCTGCACCGATAGAGGCAGTTTCCCATGATGGTCATTGTGGTCATTAAGCTTTAGGGCTGGGTTGAGCCATTGATTGTTTTTCTACCTTGGCAGTTTGCATATCATCATCTAGCATTTTAAGACAAGCTTCAGTTAGGCTTCCAGGTCAGTTCCTGCTCCATTGTTTCAAGTCCTGCACCCTCAGTACGTCCTATCCTCAACAGTAGGGTTTTATCTACTAGTTCTGGGAGATAACCAAAAGGTTTGGCAATATCCCATGTTATTTTGGGCAACTCCCAGACCACCTTCAATAACCACTCTAAGGGAGGTCTCTTTTCTGTCACTGTGTTTCTTGCCAATCAGCTCCCAGGTATACATGTGCATTAATGTTCAGATACTGTGCATTTCTCATAGGGTTTCAAGGACATCATTTTTCCCTTTAAGGTTTCTTAGCCCACCAACATTTATTCTTCTCTACTCTTTTGTTCTCCCATATGGTAGTCCTCCTCCCTCCCTCCCCAGTCACAGTGCTCCCATTATCCCCACCTTTCCCCAGTACCACCATCTTCCCACCATCCTCCCTCTCCTGACTTCCCTCCCTCCCCAACACCATGCCCCCTTGAATGTCCCTTCCTCCTCTCCTCCCTGTTGAATACTCCCACTTTTCCCACCTCCTTATTTTATTGGGAATTTTTGTATCTGTGTTCATCAGAGAGATTGGTGTATAATTATCTTTTTGTTGAATCTTTTATTTTGTTTTTAATCTGAGTAGTACTGACTTTGTAGAAGTAATTTGGGGATCATCCTTCCATTTCTCTTCTAGGGAATAATTTGAGAAGTAAAACATTTATTTCTTCTTGGAAAGTGTGGTAGAGTTCAGTGTTGTAGCCATCTAGTTCAGGGCACTTTGCATTTGAGAGATTTTTTTAGTTGGTTGTTATTGTTCTACTTAAATTATTTATATTACTTTGATTTAGTTTTGTCTGCTGTACATATCTACAAATTTATCCAATTATTTTAGATTTTCTAATGTCGTGGAATGTAGATTTTTTTTTTTAAAGCATATCCTTAGAGTTTTGGGGATTTCATCTGAATCTGTTTTAATGTTTCCTTTTTCAACTCTGAATTTGTTAATATGGGTCCTCTGTCTCATCATCAGTTTGGCTAAGGTTTTGTCAGTCTTGTTAATCTTTTCAAAGAATCGTTCATTTCAATGATTCTTTGTATTTCTTTTCCTTTCAAGTTCATTAATTTAGTTTTGATTTTATTTACCTCCTCCCCTACATGCTTTTTGGGTGTGGTTTGTTCATAGTTTTCCGAGGCTTTCAAGTACATCATTAATTTTTTTATATGGGATGTTTCTAAGTTTCCAGCGTTAGGCACTTGGTGCTATACAGTTTCCACTTACCACTGCCTTCATTATGTCCCAAAGGCTTGGGTATATTGTGTTTTCAATTTCATCCAATTTTCATTCAGAAAGCTGGTGTTTAGCTTTCATTTATTTGTGTGATTTTTCCCTTTTTATTGTTAGTTCCATGGATGCTTAGAAGAATGTATAATTTTTGGTGTTTGTTAACATTTTCTATGGATGTCTGTTAGGTCCATTTGATTTTTGATGTCATTTAACAACAAGGTTTCTCTTTTTAGTTTTTGTCTGGTTGATCAGTCTATTGGTGACAGTAAGGTACTGAAGTCACCTGCTATCTCTGTGTTGGAGTGAATGAGAGATTCTAGAGTTTATGAAGTTTCTTTCATGAAACTGGATATCCCTGTGTGAGGTGCATATATATAGTATATATTTATGTTTATATATTTATATATATATTTATGATTGTAATACCTTCTTGATGGATTTTTCCATTAATGAGTATAAAGTGACCTTCCCTGTTTCTTCTGAATAGCTTCAGTTTGATCTCTATTTTTAGTTTTATATTAGAAGAGCTACAGCTGCTTGTTTCTTAGTTATATTTGCTTGGAATATTTTTTACCATTTTACCATAATTTTGTGTTGGATGTTGTCGGTGAAACGCATTTCTCGGAGGCAGAAAATTGATGGATCCTCTTATTCAATAAGGTAATGGGTGTCTTTTTATTAGGAAGTTGTGACCATTAAAGTTGAAAGTTATTATTGACCAGTGTTTATTAATTTCTGTTTTGTTGGTACTTTAATGCTGTTTTCTTAGACCTCTTTTGGTTGACTCCTTAAAATAATTCATTTATTCTTTGTGCCTTCTGGAGGGTTTTTAATATTCAGATGGAAGTACTTAATCAAGTATTATCTGAGGGGAGTTTTGTGGACAGAAATTGCTTAAATATGTTTTTATCATGGAAAGTTTTTCTTTGTCCTTCAATTACAACTAATAGCTTGGCTGGATAGAGTATTCTGGCCTGGAATCTGTGTTCTTTCATGACTTGTATGACAATAGTCCATGCCCTTCTGGCTTTCATAGTCTCCACTGAGCAGTCAGTCATTATTCTGTTAGGCCTGACTTTATACGTGACTTGATCTGTCTTACGGGATTCAATATAATATTTTGTTCTGTACATTTACGTCATACCATGTGGGGAGCTTCTTTTCAGTTTCTGTCTACTTGGTGGTCTCTATGCTTCCAATACCTTGACAGATATTTGTCTCCCTAGATTAGGGAAATTTTCTTCTACGGTGTTATTAAAAAATATTTTCTGTGCCTTGCTTTGTGTCTCTTCTCCTTCTTCCATCCCTATGTTTCATCAGTTTGTTTTTAGACCGTGTCCCACAGGTCTTGCATATTCTATTTCTGGGTTATTTTAGATATTTTATATATCATTTATTCTACTTGTTTTTGCTTCTTTCCTTCAGTTCTTCAGTTTTTTATTTTTGCTTTAGTTCTTGAGTTTTTTATTTCAAGTTTTAATTCGGTTTTGCTTTTCTTCAAAGATGCTATCTCTTTACTGAGATCTAATTTCTTTTTTTTTTTTCTTTTTTTTTTTTTTTTGTCTTTTTGAGATAGGGTCTCTCTGTAGCCCCAGCTCTACTGGAACTCACTATGTAGACCAGGTTGGCCTTGAACTCACAGAGCTTTGCCTGCCTCTGCCTCCTGAGTGCTGAGATTAAAGAAGTGCACTACCACACCTGGCTTATTGATATTTAATTTCATGTTTTGAATTGTTTTGGTTACTCCATTCAACTGTGTTTTCATGGACTCCATTTGGATATTTTGTTCATATCCTGAGTTCTTGAGCATATTTATAATTGCTGTTTTGAAATCCTGTCTTGTGTGTCCACTAGGTTGTCATTCTCAGGATATATTATGATGGGGTTAGTTTGTGTACTAGACGTATGGACGTATGTTTGTTTTTCATGTTGTTTGTCTTTTGAACGAGACCTAGGCATCTGGACATGTATGGTGGTGTTTCCCGGTGTGGGTAAACAATTGCTTCTTTGTTGGCATCTTGTTTGCTCTTTCCCCAACTTATAAGGTTATGGCCCACATGAGTGGGGTTTAGTGTTCAGTTTTGGAGACACTTCATGTTGATACGCAAATAGGGTGAAATAAGTGATTTCAATTCAGCTAGAGATAAGTACAACTTTTGAGTTAGATTTCAGGATTGACTCCACAGGATCTTGGATCAGCGTGGTGGCTTGGATCTGAAGGGTGGGGTGGGGACTGCTAGGTGCACAAGTTGGCTGATAGGTTAGATGGGGAGCTCATATTTCTGCAACACAGAAAGCTCAGATTATGGGGCACAGGGAAGTCTCAAGAAGGGGAGCTCCAAGTAATAAGGATGTTGAACACTTTTTTGGTGTTCCTTATCTATTTTTTTCTTCATTTGAAAAAGACTCATTAGCTCATCTTTTTATTAGGTCATTTATATGACTTTTGTTGTTTCTTTGCTTTTTTGTGTTCTTTGTATATTCTGGATATTAATCCTTTGTCAGTTGTACAGCAGGTGAAGATTTTTTTCCTGATGAGTGAGTTTCCTCTTTCCTTCCTTTCTTGCTTCTTTTGCTGTACAGGGAAGGGGTTGTGTCTAAATTTAATTAAGATGTATTATATGAAATGCACAGAAACTCAATAAAAATCATATAAAAGAACAAGAGCTCCAGAATGCAATTCTGGGTTGGGGAAGGATCTCTAAGGCCCAAGCTGGCCTGAGAGCTGAGATGGAGTAGGGACCTCGTGCTGCCAAGACTACAAGGATGAGCACATCTGGGAAAGGGCCCATACATTTTCCTAGGAGTTTATGTTTTATATGTCAGGAACTTGAAGAACAAAGTTTAAATTTCATTTTGAGACAGGATCTTCATACAGCCCCAGCTGTCCTAGAAATCTCTGGTTTGATTAGGCTGACCTTGATTTCACAGAATTCAGTCTGCCTCCCCGGGGCTGGGATTAAAAGTTTGTGACACCAAGCCTGACAAGAGCTTGAATTTTATAAGGACTGAGCTGAAGATGTAGACCAGTTTGAAAGTATTACTAATTTCACAATATTGAGTCTTTTGATTCATGAGCATGGGATAGTCACATTTATATAGGTCTTTAATTCCATTCAACAGTGTTTAATGATTTTAAGTAGAATATCTTCTAGTTAGTTTTCATGAATTGCAAATGTATTTCATCATTGTGTTCCTGTTGATTTATTGTTTGTCCAACATGTTGATATTTTAAACTAGTTACAATAATTCATTTTTTATAGATTATTAGAATTTCTACAAGTAAGGTTTCAAAATTATTAATAGAAATAACTTTATTACTTGCTTTAAAATTAAATGAATTTCATTTAATAGTCTTGTTGAATTTCCTGGTCTAGAAATTCTGCTTTAATATTAAATAAAATTTCAGGGAGTATTCATCCTGAACTGTACATATATTAACTTATAGTGAAAGTATTTTTCTTCTGAACCATCAGCTGCTTATAGACTTCATGCATTTTCTACAGAGTTTTGGGTGATACAAATAAATCCTCAAGAATCCTAAGCAATGTCCACAAAACTTGCCCTTGTTCCTAGGATGTTAAATGTGTTTGAGTACAGTATTGTAGAACAGATAGAGGTATAAACCTTACTGAAAAGTCTTTATATGTCCCATGTTTTTGTAATTTCCAATGTCTTTGACTTCTAAAATACACAAGGGCCTGTTAGTTAACTGGAGATGCTTAGTTAAAAATACTTAAATTCTATGACATAGCTCAATGTGTAGAGGCAAAATAAATAGTGACCATACTTTTTCCCTTGTCATTTTGTATATAGAATTTCCAGACAGAAGTGACAGAAAGAAATCTTTCTACAGTGACTGAGTTCATTCTCACAGGGTTGACAGACAAACTGGAGCTGCAGCTGCCCCTCTTTCTGCTCTTCCTCGGGATCTACATGCTCACAGTGCTGGGGAACCTGGGCATGATCATCCTGATCCTGCTCAGCTCCCACCTGCACACCCCCATGTACTTCTTCCTCAGCAGTCTGTCCTTCATTGACCTCTGTTATTCCACTGTCATTACCCCCAAAATGCTGGTGAGCTTTGTGTCAGAGAAGAACGTCATCTCCTACCCTGAATGCATGACTCAGCTCTACTTCTTCCTCATTTTTGTTATATCTGAGTGTCACATGTTGGCTGCAATGGCCTATGACCGCTATGTGGCCATCTGTAACCCCTTGCTTTACAATGTCAACATGTCTTACCAAGTTTGTTCTTGGATGTTAGGTGAAGTGTATGGAATGGGTTTCATTGGTGCCACAGCTCACACTCTCTGCATGCTAAGAGTACTTTTCTGTAAGGCTAGTACAGTAAACCATTATTTCTGTGATCTTTTCCCATGATGGAGCTTGCATGCTCCAGTACTTTTATCAATGAGGTAGTACTCTTATGCCTCAGTGCTTTCAACATTTTAATTCCAACTCTGATCATCATTACTTCCTACATCTTCATCATTGTCAGCATCCTCCACATTAAATCCACCAAGGGAAGGTTCAAAGCTTTCAGCACCTGCAGCTCCCACTTCTGTACTGTGGCTATCTTCTCTGGTTCTCTGGGATTCGTGTACCTGCAGCCATCATCAGTCAGCTCTAGAGACAAAGGGAAAGTGTCATCTGTGTTTTATACTACTGTCATGCCCATGCTCAACCCCATAATCTACAGTCTGAGGAATAAGGATGTCAAAATTGCTTTAAATAAATTGCTTCAAAAATGAAATTTCCTATGAAGAATAATATTTGCCATTACAAAAAGCATACAATTTCTGAATTTCTGTTACAGAAACAGACTAGAAAACACAATCTTCTACTAATCATGAAATTATCACAAGTATAGGATTATTTGGAGGGCAGGGGAAGTGTCATGGCAAGACTGGATTCATTGTTAAGACATAGAGAGGCAACAGCTCTCACATGCACCAGAATCAATCCACTTATCAGTACCTGACCCACTAATAAATGTTTTATAGTTATTAAAATTCTTCTTCTTTTATTTGCATTCTGCCATATGTTCATGAAACATGGTTCTTTTAGGTGAGATTTATTTATTCTATTTGGAGAACTAAGTATATTTCTTCAGTATACTTTGATATTCTCTGTATTTTGTTTACTCAACTTTTTCCAATGAAATATATTGCCAAAATTTCTCAAAGTGAGAGTTTTGAAATAAATAATTTTAACAAACAATTGTGATCTCTCTTGTTAGCTTATTATAAAGTCCTGTATTAGGAATTATAGAAACCGAAGAGGGATTATGTCATTCTCACTGCCAAGGAAATGATAACAATAAAGTCTTGGAGATCAAAAATACTAAAGAGACTGTATACATTTTGCACATTATTATTTATTTGAGCAATATTCATTGATCACTTCGGGAGTATGCTAACACTTTCCTCTTCTTGATAGTCATTTTATCATTTCTCTTATTTCAAAGATTTAATGCGTTTTCCCAATCCACACTATAGAATCCTTTTCAGAAATGATACGTTTTACAAATGTATTCATTATGGATATTTATTCATGCAGAAAAGTTAAAAATTTTAAATTGTTTTCTTACTAATAAATGACAAGATACTATCAGAGTCAAATATGACTATCTATTCTAGTAAAAATAAATATTTTTGACAAACAGGGGAAAAAAACCTCCTAAATAATAAATTTCCTTTTCTGACCTTCACTCACTTAAGCTCCTATTGATGCTTCTGACACTGTAATAAAAAGACTTCAATTTTCTTGTGACACTATTTTCCTCAGCCAGAAGTCTTTTTACCTCTTGATGTCAACCATCTCTTGCTCATCTTGCATGACTTCTCCTGGAGGTAGCAGTAACCGCATGGATTTTCTCCTTTTCCTTTTTATTTTAGAGTCATTGTTATATCATAAATGATGGTTGTATTTTTGTGATTCCTGTAAGCTTCAAAGCCTTCAAAGCAGTTTCAATAAGGAGTCAATCATGAACATCTCTAAATAATGTGTGCTTCCTGCTGTGCTGTACTTCACTGTGTCTACAAGTGCAGCACCGAACTCATTGCTCCTTACAGAACATTAGCACTAAAACCGGGTTATCCTGCATCAGCAGCATCAGCAGTTTCCTGTAGCAGGCAGACACAGTGCTGGCGTTATTGTCAGCTTGCTTGAAATAAATGATGGGAACAACTCAATGTCATGTCACTTTCATCTCAACATACAACACCAAGAGAAAATATTCACACTCTGACTTACTCTCCCACAGGGATACTGTTAAACTCATTCAATACATTATTCTTCTTTCGCTTTTACATCACTGCGTTCTGTCTCCCTTCCCATGAACCAACCCACATAGGCCCTTATTATTTTGTTGGTCTCTAAGGATTTTTCTAATTGAAACATAAATAGCTAAAGTTTGAAAGCAAGCATACACTGATGAGAGAGAGAATGTTTCTTTCTGGATCTTGCTTACCTCACGATGATTGTTTTCAGTTCTATCCATTTACTTGAGAATTTCATAATTCATTTTGCTTAAGAGCCAAATAATAATCCATTGTGCAAATATATCTATTTCATTATTCATTCATCAACTGATGGATATCTAGGTTGTTTCTATCTGCTGACTATTGTGAATACGGCAACAATGAGCATGGATGAACAGTTATCTTTGTATTAGTTTACAGAGTCATTTAGGTATATGCCTAAGAGTACTATGGGTGAATCATGTGGCAAATGTATTTTTATCTTTTTGAGGAATCCACACATTGATTTCTATAGTGACTGCAGCCATTTTTACACTCACCTACAGTGAATAAACTTTCCCCATTTCTCGTATCTTCACCATCATGTAAAATCATTTGGGGTTCTTCAGGCTGCACTGAAATGCACTATGTAGATCAGACTGGCCTTGAACTCACATAGATCCACCTGCCTCTGCCTTTTGAGTGATGAGGCTGCGGTGTGAACCACCACACTCAGCTGCTGTTGGTTTTGTTTTCATTGCTGTATTGTACATTCTATTTCTATTCTAAGGCTTGCATAGTTGGTGTGCATTCCTCACACCCAGTGGCTCCTGTGGCCGGCAGCTACCAAAGTGGCAGCAAACATCCAGCCCCTGACTCACTACTAAACAAACAGGACAAAGATACTGTCACAAAAGGTGCTCTGGGGATGGGGATATGGCTCAGTTGGTAAGTGCTTGTCTGGCATGACAAGAACCTGGGTTCCAACCCCAGAACCATATACAACACATAAAAATCTTGTTGCAGCTCAGAGTAAGAGATGCTTGATGACAGTGCTTCAAAAGTGCTCAGTGGACAGCCTGGCATTATAGGGGCTCACCTGGTAACCAATGATACCTGTGGGCTCAGCCAGTCCTGTGGAGTGATGGTGAGAATCCACAGGGCAGGTGAGCCCAGGAGGTGACAGCTGTCTCCTCACCTGTGAATTTCTTCAAGCTTTCTGTGGTGGACTCATGTCATTATTTTGCTTCATTGATTCTGTCCTCCAGGTCCTCAGGAACTAGAGTTGGGTTGATAAGCTGAAATTCCTGGCTCCTGTGAAGACATGGTGAGCTGGGTGGTGAGTTCAGGGAATGAAGTGCAGGGAGGAAGGGCCTGTGATGTGGGTGTGTGGGATGGAGACAGAGAGAGAGCAGTGTAAGGTGAGAGAGCTGGGTGCCAGGAGGCCAGGACCAGGAAAGTGGATGAGGGAGGGGCAGGAGGAGATATGGACATGGGGATGGAGGTGGAGGCAGAGGGGAGAGGACAAGGAGGCAGGGAGGAGGGAACAGGACCCACCCACTGAGCAGGAGGTGCATGCAGGAGCTAGGAAAGAGCAGAGTGTGCTGAAGAGCTGGAAGCTGGAGATGGGGGCTTTTCTCTTTACCCAGCAGGCCATGTGTTACTGTGCACAGCTGAGCCTTCCCCTCCTGCAGCTAAACAACTTATAGTCAAGTTGTGTTGGTGGTGTGGAGGATGGGTGCTGAATGTGGATATGAGTGAAGCAGAAAGCACGGAGCCCTGGGACGCCCATCATACCTGGTCAAGGTGATGTCAATATTCTGGAAGAGAAAGAGAGCACAGGTGCTAGAAATGACAAACAGTGGAAGTTTGGAAAAAGCTAGAGAGCTGATGGAGGCGCTGATGTGGATTTTACAATGGATTATAAAATATGTAACTAAAAAGAGGCCAGCCACTCAGAAGCGAGGGCCACAGCTGTGTTTTAAATGTTGGGAAATAGCTCAATTGAAGATATATGAAGATTTGTTAAAGGTTATAGAAAAATTAGAAAAACTGCTGTGGACCCTGGACACTAGTAGAGAACCCATAGAGGGGCTGGGGCACTTTGCATAATAAAAGATGTGCCCAAAAAGCTGAAAGCTGAAAAGGCTAAGGAAGTACTCATGGACCCAGTTGCAGAGCTTGAGAGAGGAAAAAAAAGGACCAAAATATGTTTAAGGACTCAGAGGAAAAGACAGATAATAGTAAGAAAGGAGATGACCTAAAAATAAAAGTAGCTAAAGCTGCCCCTCAGAGTCGACCATTGATACAAAAGGGGGAGAGAAAAAGCTAACAGTGCTGTAGCTAGGAAATACTCCACACTGGAACTGTTAAAACTAGCAAAAACAAGCAAGCAATCAAAGAGCCTCTAGCCTCTTTTCTTGTGAGAGTGTGGGACATGGTAGTAAATGACATCAGTGTAAGTCCTTCAGAAGTTTCACGCCTGAGTTATATAACCACCTATCCATCCTTGATATAAAGGCTGTTCAACCTATGCCAATGCAGGGGTGAGCAGTCCTTAATGGGATGGCTGATGGAAGGCATTAGGGATGATACATGGTCATTATGGAGTGAAAATCCAATAATTAACAAAGACTGGAGGACTATAAAGAAGGGACAGGCATTACTGAGAGAACTAGGTATGAGAAAAGCAATATATGATACCCAGTTCATTGGGCCAGATAAAACTGTGCTCACCAGAGATATAAAGGAAAGTTTAATTCAAGTGGGACT